GTGTGTGGGTGTGTGTGTGTGTGTGTGTGTGTGTCGCTGTGAAGGAGGCTAAGCTAAGAAGCTAACCGAAAATTTCATGCGCTGTAAACAGCACTACTGAGAGGAGAAATATACCGAGCCAAACGAGACGGCTGTAAATGAGAGCTGCTGCTTTGTCAGACAAATTTAATTTAATTTGGAAGCCTTATCAACACAGACTGGCTTCATTCACTTCCTCCACTACCATTGCTAACTAACTAGCAGACACTGTGTAGAAAATTGATGTCGTTCAAAACTCCACCTTCTGTTTGCTGACTGGCCCAGGTAAAATAAACTACAAGCAGACACTGCGCAGAAAATCGACGTTCTGTTCTCTGATTGGTTTGGCTAAAATTCTGCCAGCGAAATCCTTCTCTATGGGAGAAATGCCAGATGGAGCAGGGAAGTGAAACTAGAATTGAGCGAAACTGCGTAGGAAGGCAAGGGCCAGGCTAGGTGCACCTGTTACAGAGGAGCTTATGTAATGGACTCGTCTTCTCCAGAGTCTTCACTCTGCCTCTTCAAAGGTGGACATGGAGGAAATGCTGTCCTTTGCTGAGTCCCCTAATGATTTGCCAGAATCTGTTTGCATGGGTTTTCTCCGAGTACTTCAGTTTCCCCCACACCCCTAAAACCCCTAAAACGTCCCAGGCCTCCCTTAAAAAAGAGATCTGCCATCTCAATGGGATTTGCCTGATTAAACGATGATTAAACAACGATAAAATAAAACCTCCTCAGCCTCACGATAGTCCTTTTTTTCTGCTTGGTCTTCAGAGGAGTCTGATGCTTTTTGCTCTCTCTCCCGAACCTGTCCTTCCTTTCCTGCTTTGCAGCTTTTTCAAGCCTTTCTTCTACCTATCATCTGAAAACAAAAGGAATTATGAATTTAGTCAACTGGTCTCTGAACGCAATTGACACTAGTTTTTCCCCATTGAGATTGGAACAAGGGGAACATAGCTGTCCCAGTGGAATGGGTGCTGCTGGTTGGGTCACTGGTTCTTGGGGCTGGAACCTGATCTGTTTGGCACTGCTTTCCATTGAAGACATGGAAGTTTTGCACATATTTGGATTTATGATAGTTGGATTCCTGCTGATCGGCTGTGGCGGAGTTCTGGCTTTTAGGAAAATGAAAGCGTTCTTGACAGCAGTCCGGCCCTGTCAAAAGCTGTCAGGAATCATGGATGGAATCTCCTGTGCACAGACTCAGATGCTGGGGAATATAAGTCACAAACTGGATGTGATTCTGACAAGAACCACAGCTTGCAGTGTGCCCATGAGATGCAGGATTACACCTGGGTGAGGTTTCAGATGGAAAGAGGCAAGAAGGTGATGAATTTGGAACATTTTGCATTTTTTTTTCGCCATTTCAGAGATGCAGTTAAGACTGTAAAGTGGCAAGAAACTTGGGGTCGCTTGTCCCAAAACAATTGTGTTTATCTTTCGGATCCCAGCAGCTGCTGGCCTTGGTTGGTCGGCAGTTTTCAATACTTCCTGGGATAGATATGGTAAATGGTAAATGGACTAAACTTATAGAGCGCTTTTCAAGTCCCTCCGGACCCCAAAGCGCTTTACACTAACAGACATTCACCCATTCACACTCACATTCACACACTGATGATGGAAAACTACACTGTAGCCACAGCTGCCCTGGGGCACACTGATAGAGGTGGGGCTGCTATGCACTGGCGCCACCGGACCCTCTGACCACCATCAGTAGGCAAGGTGGGTAAAGTGTCTTGCCCAAGGACACAACGACTGAGACTGTTGGATGGGGGATCGAACCAGCGACCTTCCAGTTCCAGGACAACTCCCCTAACCACTCCGCCACAGCCTCCCCTATATGTGGATATGTCAACAAAGGCTTGATTCTCCCACTCCCTATCCCTGTATCAACCGTGAGGAATCAGATCAGTCTGAAGGCTGTGGAGACGGAGAAAGGGGAAACCCTGAACTCTGGGACTAAGCTTTGGAGGAGAAGATCTGGTCTCTGGACTCTGGCGGGTCCTGGTCTTGGATTGGTCCCAGCACGGAGTATTAACCTAAAACGTCACTGGCTCCAGTGAATCCCGCCCCTGTACCATGTGTTTGATCCCCAGCCCCCTCCCCTCCTTGGCTGTCTGCTCTTGCGAGTCGTTTTATGTGCATATGATTCTGTGTTTATGAGTAAATATAGTATCAGAGCAACTTTTTTAACTCATCTATCCCATTGTCTGTTTTATTTTCCAAGCTGCAAAAGGTAGCGAGACCATGTTGTGAAAGACCTGGCCATCTGGTCCCCCATATTTGTTATTTACGTCTTTCTTCGAACGGGTGTTCTTAACTGCAATTTTGTTCTGCATTGCATCTTTGATGTTGTGTGTGAATGACAATAAAGCTGATTCTGATTCTCCATGGCCTACCTGAATTCCTCCCATGCCAGAGTTTTTGCATCTGCAACCACTGAAACTGAGACCCTTCTAGCCACCCTGTACCCACCAGCTGCTACAGGAGTCCTTTCGGAAAGCCAAATCCTGAAGGCCTCCTCCTTGACAGCCTGCATCACCACTGGTGTTCACCAGTGGCTCCCTTGGTTGACCTTCAGACCACAACTCCTAAAAGCTGTATCTGCAATGGCCCATTTAGATTACATGTCCCCAACCTCCCACAGGACATGTGAAAAATTCTCCTGGAATGTTGAAGATTGCATGGACAGGTGGCTCCACTAATGTTCTCAGTTTGCACTCACTTTGTTTGGAAAAAAGTCGGGCCCATCCGTGGATACTCTCTACACTTTGTTACACTGCCGTCACTGCACAAAGGGTTCAGCCTCACCAGTCACACAATCATTAGCTCTCCACAGCCTACAGAGTCCCACTTGCCCAAGCCCTGTCCCAGAGTTCCCAACAGGGTTGACCCTTCCAAGAGGATCAATGCCGCTCTCCTGTGACTCAGAGAGTGTCTTTGACACCTTCAGTGCTTCCCAGAGGGTCACAGATACTTCCACCTCCTATGTTCTCCAAAGGGTCCGGGACGCCTACATCACTTGCAGACATACGTCTGAATCGATTCAATCCCCTGGCCAGTTTGCACTCCAGCCAGAACCACTTTGATTGTTTTTGACTGGTCATAAAGGGACTGGAAGATAAGGAAATGGTGGCCTGGCTGCAGCCCAACGATAGTCAGAGAGGTGGCGGATTTTGCGGTGCTGGGGTAAAAAAAAGAAACAGAACCAGTTGACATGAAAGGTAAGCTTGTGTTGTACTAACAACAGTTTAGCTGCCACAGGAGAGAGCAAAACCTGTTTGTCTCTTAGTTGCTTTAGTTATTGAATAAAAATATTAACACAGAAAAACAAATTTGTATAACCAAGACTATAACCAAGGTGTTTACATCTTCGTCCCTCACCCTTAACCCCCCCCCCCCACACACACAAAATCATAGTTTTTTCAGTGAGACTTTTATTTGCATATTCACAGGTAATGTGAATATCTGCAATTTTCAAT